TCAAACGGCTAAGAAGTGGGGTTTGGGTCTCATACAAACATTTCCCTATTATTAGAACACACATTAGAATCTTCCACAATTGAAGATTACTAGAAAAAAAAAACAATGGAAAAGGTCACCAAAAGTTGATCTTGGTTTTCTATCGCCTCCTCCCTTAGTAAACTTTGCCTTTGAAATAAGTGAAATTTATCAAAATATTTGTCAGACGTATACTGCTTAACATTTCAAACATTTATAATTGAAATTCGTTCAAACAAAATGATATCAAATCTATCCATCCCTGTTTGTTTTGACATAGTTTTACTTTCAGTCAAACTATTTGTTTTCTTTTATGAAAAGGGTGTGGTTTCTATAAGGTTGCAATCTTAAACAATCCAATTAAGATGCACCTCAAAATTTTATCATTACATATAATTTTGTTGTAAAAAAATTTTAGGATTATCTTAAAATCTATTTTCATATCTAATTATAAAATTTTAAATTTCAAAAATGGTTAAAATCAAGTAGATTTATAAATATACGCAAATCTTGAAAATAGACGGTCTAGAGAATGTGTTGCAAGATGCACTATTTCTGTGACTCAAATTTTTTTTTTTTTTTCATATTCATACATCTCGATATCGAGATGATCGATTAGAGGATTTTTCAACAGTAAAACAATATTTCCAATAGATTTTTGAGGTGCACCTGTGATTCTACATTTAAAGTTGCCACCTTATATAAACTTTTCCCTTATGAAAAATATAATCTCTCAAATTACTCTCCAAGCTTTACCCAAAGGCCCTCAAACTAGCTTGACTTGACTCATCTAAGGTGCCCAAACGAATTGGCTTGTTCAGGAGGATTGAATTTTTGAATTACTTCGAATAAGGACAATTTTAGCATGTTTGAAGATATTTTTGAAGAAGTGTCCAAGTGAAATGAAATGTAATCATAGTTAGTTAATTAGGATCTATTTGACAGCCTTCAATGATTTTGTAAGGGGTTTTTTATTCGTTAAATCATTTTTTTTCTTTTTTTTAGTGCAAAAAATAGGAGACTTGTGAACCCCAAATTTTGCACACACGTGACCATCATTTAGGTTCTTCAAATAAAAATAAAATAAAACATATGAATGTCGGCAAAGTAGGGCTACCACTCTGATGTAGATCAAAATCTTGTGGCTACAAATTTTAATTTTTTTTTTATCAATTTTATTTTTAGAGATTAGGTAGATTTTTTATTTTTATATATTCGGGTTAATTGTTAAAATTAGGATTTTTAGGTTTGTTCGATTAAATCTATTTTTTTAACAAGTTTTTTTTATATCATAAGGTACAATTTTTTTAGGAATGAGAACCATATTTTTGGTGGGATTTATTTAAGAAAATATCTATCTTTTAGTTGGGGGATTTACTTAGGAAACTTGGAGCCTTTCTTTTATAAAAAGATAAGTAATGTGGTATTTGGTAGTTAAGTAAGGTGGTATTTGGTAGTTTTGTATTTTTTTTTTTTTATAAGGAGGTTATTTTCTTTATTGATAGGAGTAAATTAGATTGTTAATAAAAAAATAAAGTTAGTTTAGGAAAGTTTGTATTTTTCTTTGGAATAGGGCGTTTAGCTTGATGGTAGTATCTTTCTATTTCAAAGGGCACAAGTATGTATTAGTTTGGGTTGGGTTGAAATAGAGATTGTGATACGTTTATGGTTGGAACGTAGAAGATAGGGGTGAGGAATTTTCCTTTTCTATTAGGAGATAAAGGAGTTATGGTAAAATACGAAATCCTTTACAAAAAGGAGCAATGGCATTGAAAGTAAATGGATTTTTGATGAATGAGAAAAATTGATCTTTGAGATTGTGGAGAATGAGAAAAATTGATCTTTGAGATCGTAGAGAGAGAGACCTCTTTGTGGGTGTTATAATGATGCAGATTAAAATTTAGTGGCTACAAATTTTAATTTTTTTTAAAGATTGGGTAGCTTTTTATCGATGTTGTTTGCCTGTAAATTTTATACTTTGTCACACTCTTAGCCGTCTAGATCACCCTCTCTTTTAATCTGGCCTATAAAATAAAATAAATATGAGCAATGATTTTATGCAACCGTTGTACAGTAATTTGATGCAACAATCATAAAAAATCATTTTATGGCTATTGGTTTGATTCAAATTTTGAAATATACACTCTTTTCATTCTAATGAACAATCACAAAAAAAAAAATTGAAAACACGACCTAGAAAGTAGTTTTTAGCCCAATTAACATAGACCGTTTATTTTGGTGAGATGCTTAGATCTATGCCTTAAAAGGATTTTTTCACTTCCAATTTTTTTTGGATGGCTTTATTATCATTAGATGGACAATGTTAAAAAAGAAAAAAATGATTTTGAGTTTATAAAGGCTAAGATCTTGATATTCACAAAATGAATGGTCTAGATTCGTTTTTTAAGGGGACTCATTATGACCAAGGGTTCAAATTGAACTTTTTTTTTTGGGGGGGGGGGGGCTGGGGGGGATTGATTATTGAGATGAAGAGAGAGCGTGTGCAAAATTTGAAGTCATACAAATACCACAAACATGGTTTTCTAGAAGTGTCGTTGCATTGGATCATTGCTCAATAAAGATTGGATGTAATATGTCTATGTTAGCCCCTCTCTTTTAATCTGGACCATTGAACTTATGCTACAGTATACATTCTCTATCTCACATAATCTTGATCAATAGCCACAATATCAAGCCATCCACTAAAGAGAGATTGGATACGCGTACTCGCATAGGAGGATTAACACTTAAATCTTTAATCAATTGACCCTGATATCACTGATGAGATGATGACAATATCAGCAGTTGATCTTGTTATAAGATCAAATTAATAAAATATAAGATAATTGCTATTAACCTCATTTGCAGCTACTCATTTTGCTTTTATATTTATTCAAATGAAATAGCATAAAAGAATCAATCTTCTTAAAAAACTGTATACAACAATCAATTGTCATGGTCCCATGAAAATGATCTGATTGCCATGGTTGACCAAACCCACTATTACACAAATTATTTAATTCTAAATGATTTGTTTTGATGAAATAAAAGGTGTGCCAAAAAGACAAAAAAATTTGTTTGAAAAAAAAAAAAAAAAACCAGTAGAATGAAGTAAAATTCTAGAATTATGAAATAAAAAGGTGAAAAAAGAGCAATATATGCCCTTTTTTTTTTTTTTTGAGTGCTGAAAATATAGGTCAATTACGTTATTTTGCAAAAATTGGGGAGTAATAAATAGCTAATGAACTGCTTTATATATGCAATGTATTATATTTCCTAGTGGGACATTTTAAACTTTCATTAATCTCACATAGAAACAATTATCACAAAGAATAATAAAGAAACAAAGGAAAATCAGGAAAAAAAAAAAAAGAAGCGGAAAAATTGCAGAACAGACGATTTTACTGAATTTTGTGAATAGGCATCTGTTTTGAAAGAATATGGAAAGAGAAGACCAAATTTGATATGATCACTCGGTAGAGGACAATAGCTACTTGTGGACTTTTCCTCACCCCAACCCACACACATCCACGTATTTGGTTGGTTGGTTGGTGAGTGCTCCCTATCTCTCTAGAGAGAGAAACATGGGTACGAGAGAGAGGGGGGTAGTGATGACTATGGTCAGAGAGAAATTTTGTCAAGAAGAGAGAGAGAGATTGAGTTTTAAAGAGAAAGAGATTGAATTTTAGAGAGAGAAAGATAGAATAGTGATTGCTATGAATTGTCGACAAAGAGAGAGAGAGAGGGGCGAGAGAGTGGGGTACGGGTGATGATTGTTATGCATCGATTGAGAGATAAAATGGGTTTTTGAGAGAAAAAAGAGCTTTTAAGAGAGAGATATATAGATTTAGAGAGGGAGAAACGAGGTTTAGAGAGTTTTTGAGAGAGAGAGAGAGAGATTTTGAGAGAGAAACTAGTTTGAGAGAGAGAGTGAGACCCGACCACCCACCACGCCATAGAGGGACTCTTTATGTTATTTTGGTTCAAAAAAGGATGGAACTTCCATGAGTCAGCTGACTCATATATTCACGTGCTGCCCCCTCCTAAAATTTAGGTTAAAGGTAGATTTTTTATTCAAAATTTTAAGGATGAAAAAGAAAAAGTTTAAAATGTTTTGGCAGCATTCATATTTGATTTGATCCCATACATTTTACACAAGCTCCATCTTAAATATGGATGTTGAAGAGTCAGCGGGGTGCAAGCTCTTGCACTCGCCGACTCATGGAACACTTTTCCTTCAAAACAAAATCGGATCCTCCTCCTTTTCAATTTCTAACATGATCTCCATTCCACCAAAATCTGATAAAACCAATGCCATTTTGTTATTTCATAGTTCACCCGTAGAGAGAATCCCACCCCCTAAAATAAAAGACGTGGTGTATATAAAGCTGGGACCCTAAACAATCAAAGTATGTCTTTAAATAATGTTGAAAGATGTTTCAGCATCGAAAATCTTTGACCCCTCTAATCATGAAATTTCTAGCTTCAAAAATAGTGTATATCAAATAAATCTATAAACACTTGAAAATTTACCGTTTAGATAATACATTACAAAAAGCGCTATTTTTAATACTTGAAGTCTTCTTCTTCTTTTTTCATGTCCATGTATCTCGAGATCAAGATAATCAACTTTGGGGATTTTTCAGTATCGAAACAACTACTATTTTTGAGGTACACCTTAATTTGATTTGATTGATTAGGGCCTCATCCTCGTATATATAAACTTTTCCCTTGCCAAAATAAGAAAGCTTGTTTAGTAGATTCCCCAAATTGATCAAGGGCACCATAGTCATGTCTAAACAATCATTGATCCTTATCCATATTTTCCACAAAGAATAGAGAGAGAGAGATTAATTAAACTATTCATTTGAAGAGATAGAGAGAGAGAGATTAATTACAATATTCATCTGAAAAAAATAATTGGCATGACATAAAAGTGAGTTGAGTTAGGCAGCCAACCATGGGATTGTTAGATACCAGAATCCATGTCAACCGTTAAAACCCGCCATAATTCAAAAGCCCCACTAAATTTCTTTAAATGGGTTTCTCTCTCCCACGTTTTCTCTCTCTAAACTCCCCCATTGCCATTCTCTCTCTCTCTAAAACCGATCCTTAGTTGCAGAGTGCTTTGCTTGAAACACAAATCAGTTAGGCCAACGGTTACTGTAATGATTGCCTTACACTTGACGTTACAAACAGCGTTGGATTTCTGGTCACCATCTCCACCTTCTCCCACCTCTCTCTCTCCCTGTGGCCTTACTTCTACTACTACTCCTACTCCTGCTCTCTGCAAACAGGGTTGTACTCCGCCTTCTCTTTCTCACGAGACTCGACTTCCCTTCTTTCTCTCTCTCTCTCTCTCGGCCAGGAAACAGAACACTGTAGTTTCTCTTACCTTAATTTCACTTTCTAGCACGGCAAGCAGAGGGCTCCTCCCAACTTCACTTTCTGACCCTGTGAACAGTTATTACCTCCTCCCTGACCTCTCTCTAACCCTGCAAACAGAGTGTACTTCATTTTCTTTTCCTTCCTCACTGACCCAGATACAGAGTATTCTCTATCCTCTCCCTTGCCGTCTTCTATGGTTTCTTACTTCTCTCTAACTGTTATCCTAGAACAAAAAAAAATCTTACCAGTCAATCATGAACAGTTTATGGCAAAACCATATTGAGTTTTCCAGCAGGGAAACGGCAATATTTTGGTAACCCAGACTCAACTTTTCCACGTTCCCCAAATATTTTTTTTCTTCCCTGGAAAGTTCAGCATCTCTCTCTCTCTCTCTCTCTCTCTCTCTCTCTCTCTCTCTCTATCT